TATCTTGTCAAACAAGCGAGATATTGCCTGTATACGATAAATTGGGACACACGGTATATATATAAATAAAAAGAAATACATTGAGAATTCGCATTCTCTATGTGATGGAAATACCAATTCTTTCTCGGTTTATTCAATAGAAAACAACTACTTCCCAGGCTATATGCCACGACGAACATCGAATTATATCTATTGAACACATTCGATGAGAATTTTAAGACAAAATCTTCTGGAATTGAGAATTCAATGGGATTCATCAGAGGCCCGTGTAGGAAGGTTTATGAATCATCCAAGAAAACAAGTTGGCTTTTTCGAACTGTTGAGGTCTGCATGACCTACCATTATTTTTATCCTTCATAATGGATGTTACTTTGTACAAAAAAAATATTCGAAGAATTTTCTTAACCCTCATCTGGTATCCTGGATTGTTTCGGTTTCCCACTAGGGATGATGATTGCGCAATAATAACATACATACTTTCAATTAACTTGGTGATTTAATTTTCCAGGTATTCTCCAAGTTGATGGTAACTCGGCAATCATGAATATTTTCGTAGACAAAGCGTGATTAGGGTGTGCAAGTACCCCACGATACCAGTTGACTTATAGGAACTGTGAGAAATGAATCGTCGGCCTTTGAACAAGACTGAGCTATATAGACTTGCCGCCAGGTTTGAAGACATGTTCATCAGAGATCTCAGTGATGCTTCCAGTGAACACAGCGACCATAAATAAGAATCGGAAATGGAACTTGGCTGATAATGAAGAAATGGAACAAGAGTCAGATGGTGCAGAAATGGAACAAGAGCAAGAATCAACTTCTGGCAACTACTACTATGTTCCTAATAGATACAAATGGTCAATAGATTCCCCTATACCATCTCGAATTAGACGAAGTGATATAATTCTCATGGAGCGCACGAAATAAAATCCCCATGATGTTCGAAAAATATCTTGATTACCTAGAGAAGATAGGAAGAGGAGGTAGTTATTGGAAGTTTGTTTGAACTTCTGGAGATTATCAGTTCTTGGGAATACTTACTTTGGCAAAGAATTCTAGAGTTTTCGATAGACAACAAGTCATGATAAAGAGGTCTGGATAGAGCCTGCGAAGTTCGGAGAGAAGATCTCGATATTTAGTTCGTTTCTCCTGCTCCTTCGAAACGTTGGTCGGTTCGGCTGACGCCGAAAACTCGATCACGAACATCGCTTTGGTTTGATGGTCGAGGAGGACTGGCTTGTTAGCTTGTATTTGCCTGAGGGTGGAGAATGAGAAGTTCCAAAAAATTCGGCACCTCTCAATATCCACAACGGAACTTATATCTCCCTGAGCATAGGGCAGCACTGGGTTTTTCTCTATTCCGTAAGAGTGCCTGAAATGAAAGTAAAGCACTCGCAATGCCACATTGTGCCTATGAATATAGGCCGTGACTGCATACACCGTGCAAGAAGACAGAAGGTGCATGAGTGTCTCAGGCGCCCTGCGGCAGGCCCTGCAATGTGTATTAGGAAATTCTACACCCATGACACGGCTAAAATAGACGAGAATGTTGGAAGACTCCTTCCTGGCATGCCATGATGAATTCCTCTGTTTCCGATTTGAGCTCGCCTGACTTGAGGAAGGCAACAGTCAGTTCTTTTGGTAAGCTCTGGTCTTCAATGGTCTTGAAGTAGACCGGATGCATGGGCTTGGTTTTGTGAAGCTGCAGCAGTTTCCTCACTTCTGCAGCTTTCAAGTGGACGTTTCTTCAAGCGAGCTCTAGCTCTGTAACTGAGTCCTGAGCCTCGCGCTCGGAGTCAAGGAGGAGGACTTCGTTCTTTCCCAACAGTTATGACGACCAGCTCTATCGGAGCCGCTGCAGATACTTGCTGCAGAGAGCGCATTTTCACTTTGTGCCTCCTGAATTTGAGTTTCCTCTACACCCAGGTAGGTGTACGCCTCTTTTGCATCCATCAGGTGATGTAGGCTGCTTTCGTCCACGAGCTGCGCGTCCTTGTCGTAGTTCTCTCATCGTCCTCTCTTGAGATGAACCAGTCTACATCTGCCCATTCCGAATTCCATTCCAATTACCTGCGTGAACTCTTGCACACCCTGAGGGATAGGTCCATACCCCTCTCACCAGAGGCAGAAAATTCAGGGTCATCCACATAGAATACGTGGGTGACCTCATGCCTCTTGTAACTGGGTGGCCCGGAAAGGGGATTCCGTTGAAATACTCCACTCCTTATGATGAGTGGCTCTATTTGGACTCTCGCATTATACCTTCTGTTGCGGTAGAGCGTGTCTTCCAGACCAGTATCAGTTGTTCTATGCATCTGACTATATATAGAATCGGGCACCGAAAGACACTTGAACAAGTACACGAGTGATTCATGTGACCTTGTGTCGAATCCTATTCGGTGATCGATCCAGGCTACAGAAAGACTACGCTTGCAATGCACGGAGTTTCTTCTTGCAGTTAGTGACACCTCTCTTCGTTTCACGCTGCTCAAAAATCCATTATTATCATTATTATCATATTTTTCTAATGAAGCTTGCCACATAATATGGGTATCGTAGGCATAGGTGAATTTCCAGTTTATGTCTGGTGGTGGAAGCCATATTTTGTATCATGATGATTTTTGATCTCTCCAGATATTTGATAAGCTTAATGTTGATAACAGGGCAGTAGGCCTATAGTTTTTGGGCAAGTTTTTGTTTCCTCTTCTAGGGATTTGTTGGACTCTAGCTATTTTCCAGCAAATGAAAAAATACCCGACTTATATACGAGATGGTAAATATCTTGCAGAGAATCGTCGCTAATTCTAGTGCACACCATTCGAGAATAATAGGTGAGATTCCATCAGGACCATAAGTCTCATTCATTTTGAGACCATCAAGCAAAAGGCGCCTGATAAGGCGTTGGCAAAGGGCTATTTCGGGCATTTAACTTTCAATGGGTAGAATGTCTGGCGGCACTCTTCTCTGGGAACCTAAGGTGCTGGAGTTTGTGCGAACATCTCTGCAAGATAGTAGATCGTTTTATTAGCTCCAAGGAACTGAATATGTTGCCTATAGCAACATACCTATATTTGTGTCAGTAATAGAAACTTCAATTTAAGAGCTAAAGCTGGTATCAAAATGGACGACTTTTGTGTCGGTTGCAGAAAAATGTTTGTTTTCTCTCATCAGGCGCGTATATACAAGGGGGAGTGGTAATGGGGGTGATTCCAATCAAAATTATCATTAACACAAAGTTAATCTGATTTTATTCAACGCGAACTAGTAGGTATCTACCTAATCCATTTCGTCCTGAAAACTGACAAATGCCGAAACTGAGGCTGAGATTTAAAATCCCGTAAGGCTTTATGATTTTGCAATTATGACAGCGAAAAAAGTTTTTCTCTCTTTTCCAGTTTCAGAACGGAAACTTAACTTTTGAAATTTTCAAAGCATGACAAACAACATTATAAACTAATCTTTAATGGTGTTATGTCATTTTATCTCAAATTTGCGAATTCAGAAAAGTATTTATATCTGATGATCTTGGGAAATGTTGCGATTTGAAAAATCATCGAACGGAGAATTTGAAAAAACCATCAACAGTAATGTGTTTTATTTTTGTTGGAGCGCACGAAAGGGAATCCCTTTATTATTCGAGGAACATCGTGCGTATACCTAGAGAGGATATAGGAAGAGTCTCACCGAACTATACATACTCATATATACATTTTTTGTTTCGTTAAGTAAACTTGACATTTGTAGTTCGATTTTTGTTGCTTTTAGAAAATTTTTATTTTCAGGTAAATAGAACAAACTCAAATCATTTAATCATCAATTTGAAGGAATTTGACCTGGACCAACGAAAGGATTCGCCATCAGCGGTGATGCTTTTTTCTTTTTGTCGCCCCGCGCCATCATCACGAATACATATTATGTACACACTTGCCATATAATATTATAATGCAGAAATCCTTTTATATACTCAGGCAGAGTTCTAAAAACTAAAGAACTAACAAACACTTATTTTCAAACATAGGAACCTAATGGTCATTGCCCCTATCATTGTTTCCGATTCCTAAAGCTATATGAATGAACAATAACAATCAACATAAATCAAATTTATGGATTCGTGCAGCTGCAATAGGTAAGTACTTCAAGGTAAAATATGATAAATATTATATTGTGAATATCATTTCATACTTAGTCATAAGAGCGATATTCAGATATGATATGGTCGGGAACCAAAATTTAGTTGAACCTGGTTCTCGACCACTGTGGTGGTGAATATATGGTCAAATTGGTTTTCGACCGTCAATAAATGAATTGCAGAAGATATATTATTCACCTAGGCCTTATTTGATGGTCGCAAACTAATATTCAATAAGTAGATATGTGAATGAATCAGTAGGTATTTAGAAAAATATATCAACATTTTTGAAAGAAAGTAGATATATAAAATATAACTAAACATAAACAATTATTCAAGATATGCTTTGGTTCTGGACCACTTTGGCCGAGAAATTAAAAGAGCGAATTTTTGTAAAACGGGTTCGCGACCACGGAATATTTATCAAAAAAATATTATTTATGTCTGTTTTTTCTTGAAATACAGGAAAAATTTTAATTTCCTAATTAATATAAAACAAAACTCCATCAAGACCTAATGCATTCAAAATAAAGGTTATTCACTATTTTCTGGCCTGGTATCAACTAGCACTTTTCAAACGTGGACGATAACGATAACACAGCCTCTGTCAATGACAGACAGACGGTTATCAAATAATTTTCTGTGCGAGGAGTTCAACTTTTTTTTCCAGTCTGGCTGCAATATTGATGGCCAAAAACACATTTTTTAGTAGATGGTATAAGGTATATTTCTCTTATTATTTTGTCTCAAATGCCAGAACGGTCGGGAACCAGAGTGCATCTCCCCTAGCTGTAGTAGCAACCGTGGAACTCGTGGCAGTGGCAGTTCACCTCACCCTCACGCGTGAACACTCCGGCGCGAGTGCAATCGCCTCTCGCGGTGCAAAGTGGGTGGTGGGGGTCGCAACGTCGAGAGGGAGGTGCCGCGCGCAACGAATCACAGCCCACGATCCACCACTCCACTGCCTGGCGATCCTGAACAAGTGAACATTAGTCGTTAACAAACTGTTGGTGGATGAACACGCGCCCGTTCTGAGTTCTTCAACAAACGACGTTGAGAGCGCGGAGTTTTGAGTTAGTGATGTGACAATTTTTTGTTTGTGAGATATATTTTTTGTTTTTTTTTTTGTGGACCGGCTGACAATTTGTCTTGTTTTTTGTTGTTGTTGTAGTGGTCAACTCCTATGTGGTGAGTATTTATTTTTATAATTGTGAATAAAAATAAGTGAGTAGTTAGTCGTCGAAAAGGCATAAATTCAACTTCCTTCATTGGTGGATGATAAGAAAAATATTTCCATATCTGTGAAATTTCATTTTAATTTTTTGGATGGCAAGAAAGGGAGTCCCTATCATGTAAAAAATATATACTAAAGTTCATAAGCACTTGTTGTATCGCACCCAAATATTTGCAATTCACAAGGTGGGGAACAATTTAAATGAATTCAACATTGACATTCATCTAGAATCCAAAAGGAATCGGGTGTTTGTGTGGAAAATCGGTTCTTTCTTCATAGTGTTTGAGAAAATTATTGGAATATCTACCAACATTAAATTTCTGTTCAACATAATAGTTCTATGAGTATATCAACAAGAAAATCAATATTTTTCGCGTGATTTTAGTTGCCTTGCAATTTCTTAACTAAAAAAATCTAGTTCGAATTGATTGCTGTTTCACTTTTATTAATAATTATTATAATAACATTCGCTTTGTACGAAATAGAACAGATAGGTATAAGGAATAAGTAATTTGGGAAGAATCTGAATTTCATGAGATACAAAGAGCGCTTCTCGCTTCTTGCATGCTGAGGCTTCAACCACCTGTTGCTTGCGTTCCCGTTTTCATTTTACTCTTGTGGTCAGTGAATATAACTAAATTACATTCAATCATAATAAAGGTATTTGGCTATACTCATATAGTAAAATGACTAATTTACCAATCTGGCACGTTGTAAAATCAAGTTAAAACAAACAACCAAAAGTATCAAGCTCAGTTTTATTAAATCATTTGTGGATATCGAATTAATGAGCATTCATAGGTAGGTATATAGTTTTTCATATTCTTATTATTCTGGTGACTAAAACAATTGTAAGGTAACATACCTACCTATCAATTTTGCAGGCTTTCATTTCAATCATCAGGTAGCTACTTAATTTTTCCGTGAATTGAATTGGTTAGTATATTCAAGAGAATTATATTATGGTGGTATACCTATAGGATTGTCGTTTTAACCCATTTTTTTCCGTGTATGGGTGATGACCTCGGTGATGACTATGATACCGTATATATAATAATAATAATAATATACCTTTCCACATCAGGATTCCACCTTCCGAGCTACCTTCTTAGGTATAGGCCTCGGGGTAGGCACAGTTAGAAGAATACAAATGTATGGTATAGGTATGGAAATGAGATTTGCATTACTTCAATTTGTATAAACTTCGATATACCTATATAGGTATAAGTAGGTATACAATCCTCGGTACAATCATACGTACGTCTAGGAGTACATACGTATACATACTCAGTAATTACCTATTATTTTAATTTTTTGAATGAATCAAGGAGCTCTGGTGAAGCTATTCTATTTTGAAAAATTATACTCTAAGTAAGCAAATATCCCTACTTATGTTTATATAATTTTTGAATTATATGAATAATCGTTCCGAAATCTATGCTGTTATTAGACATCTCAAATTAGTTATTATGGTATTAGGTATACCTCTGATATTCGATTTGTTTCTCATCACCATTGGTGTTTGTTATTCAATATACCTGATGACCTTCACATAGACAGTATGAAGACAAAGGAAGATGAATATGAACTATTTTCTGGAATAGTAAGTTTATACGAGACTCCATTTTATATAACTAATCGAACTATTAGCACAGAAACGCAAACATCGGACAGATAAAATACTCGAAATCGCGTCTTATAGGTATGGGTATCACAGGGTATCATGTTCAAATAAATTTATCTTTGCATTCTGCTTAAACGTTTTATGTTGTTCTGCGCATCTGGTAATTTTGTAGCTTACCTATGAGAAATATTGGCTTATATTATAACCTTAATATAATTCACGCTAGTGTTGTCGGTAAATCCTCGTGAAAGATCAGGAAAGAGCATCTTATTCGAATGTGCGGCTTTCATACGTGCTCCCTCGCGTGCTCCTATAAAGATTCAGTGACCTATTCATAATTCTTGAGGATTTTGGTGAGGTAAGATATCTATATTTTGTTTGATCACAGTTAGTATAGGTATAGCCACTTTTAATTCAGTCCAATGTGGGACTTTATGGCTGCACTGATCATCTATTGGGCTGATATTAAATTCTATTTCATGTAAATATTTATAGTACACCGTATACACCCTGAATAATAATCAACCACCATTCACCATTGACTCAAGGCGGATTTGTGCCCACCGCTTTTTAATTGATCTGTAATTTCATAGTCATAAACGATTTCACTAATGAGTTGAATCTTGGGATTCCCGTTCATTCATTTATGCACCTAAATTGAATTTTATCTTTCATTAACTATATTCGCTATAAAGGATGACCAATTCCTATCGATTCTGTCATAAGTCAGACAAACAATTTCTTCCTCTTCTTTTCCCAAAATGTGGTTGAAAATTCTGAAAATTCTAGTAGTATGTCCAAAGGACCCCGCACTTTTTCTATATAAAAATGGCGTTCCGTCGAATTTCCCCAATTTTTGGTAAATGATAGTACTCGACATACTGATTGAATATGCCAAGTCCCAACTCAATCCTATGACTAGTTTACGAGGTACAGGGTGTTGAAGTTGAAGAATACCTAATTTTTCTCGGCCTATATCTCTAAGATAGGACAAATGAATTCCAATTTTTCGGGAGCACGTAATAGTTATGCCCTTAGGCGCAAGAACTATATAGGTATTCGACCAAAACTGATTTTTATTACAGGGTGATTCTCATTTCAAATAATGTGTTTTTTTGAATATCTGAATATCAATGCTACAAATTGATAACAATTACAAAATGAGATTTATAGCCAAGTATGCTCTTCTTACATCAATTGAATTCGTAAAATATAATAATTATACATGGTGTTTCATTAATGCTGTTGATTGCATAATTGGTCTATCCTAAAGTTCATTGGGCCACCTCGTATTATCGGCGAGGGGTAAATCTCCAGGAAAAATGTGTACACCAGACTTCCAATGAACAAATACTCCCAAACACTTCCAAAGACATCCTAAGACTTCCAAAGACATCCAAAGATTTCCAAAGACTTCCAAAGATTTCCAAAGAATCCCAAAGACTTTCAAAGTCTTCCAAAGACTTCCAAAAGGCTTCCAAAGACTACCAAAGACTTGCAAAGAATTCCAAAGACTTCCAACGGAGTGTACACCAGACTTCCAGGGAGATTTACCCCTCGATTATCGGGTTGATTCCAGACATTCAAAATATTTTTGAAGGATGTATCCCAATGAGTTCCATGATATACAGAGTGATTCATCGATTGAAAAAATTGACAACCACGAAAAAATATTCAAAAACCACTATTTTTTTCATCACCCTCTAATTCGAAATTATTACCGTCGATGTAAGATTTTTTTCCACCAATATACTCAGTATGGATATTTCAATCAAATTGGGAATTTTCAGACCCATGCTATGACTAGTTTTTTTTATACATCGAATAATGTGAAAATAATTATGGAAAAGTAATTACATAATAACACGAAAAATTGCTCCGAATCGCAAAACTAGTAGTCACTAGTCAACTATGTCAAAAAATGTGATTTGTTCGTAAACAAAATCTAGTGGTCTTATTATAGGTCCGCTAGCAAAACATCTCGAAAATGTTTTTCAGAAAACATCAAACAAATCACAATATGCCCCCGAAAAAATCTCATCAACGACACAACTATATTCTACGCACCCCTTTCATCAACTTTCAACTCATCAACGATCCCACTCATAAACGTGCTAAAACTCATGAGCGTTCGAAGTCGACAGCGGTTTTTCCCAACTCAATCCTATGACTACTTTTCGAAAAAAGTATGAAACTAAACTTCCGCAAACGCCTAGTAAGAGGTGCGCGTTAATATATTTTGCAACTCTCCTATATCCAACCAACTTCCAATCTTTTGACCATACTGTATATTGTTAGAATCGAAGTTAGTATATGCACATCGCAAAGACACTAAAGTTGGAGTTTTGGTTATGTAGATATTCGTTACCGGGTTCAGTATAGGCCTGAAAGAAAAATGTCAATTAAGAATTTCAATCACAGATTTTGAAAAAATAGACAAACCAACTCGTTTCCCCACCACCTGAGAGGTAGAGTTTCAGGCGCGTTTTTTTTATTGTGGTATCCCCTGTAGGCCTAGTCCACGTTAGAAAGTGAAAGTTCCAATACCTATAATATGATTGTGTGTAGGCAGGATTGGCGCAGTGGACGAGCACCCGAGTCAGGACTGCGGGGTCGTGGGTTCGATTCCCAGACAGCGCAAGGAATTTTTCGAATATTAATATACGAATTAAATATTGTGAAGTTTCGGAGCATCGGCTGGGGATAGTCCTGCACGATTCACTGTTGCGTGCCTACATACAATATAGATACATGTTCAGAACACTATGGGCTAAAGGACCTCATTAGGGATCGATGGTTGGTTGGTATGTACATACCTACCAACGAAGGACATATACTACTACTACTACTATAATTATGTTTCACAAGGAACACAGAAATCAACTAATCGCCAGATTCAAATCAGTTCCGGACCGATGTTCATATTTTCAGGATTCAATCGATTTGCAGCATCGTCGATACAATTCAAAAGGCGATCAGATGGAAAGGTAATATTTCCTTGGTTTCTTGCGTATCCAAGGAACCATACCACACTGGCTACGTGTGCACACGTCCCTAATGTTCTAGCACCGGACCTACAAGTACAGTAGTACCCTAAAATGGGCGGATCTTGTAAATTATTATCATCGATTTCTCTGAATACTAACCACAGCATATGTTTAGTGGCATTTCTGAACCGAGAAAATACTCGAAATCTTAAAAAATTGGGTTCCTCAATGAGTTCGTCAATATCGAGTGTATTTTGTTCCCCTCCATCTCTTTGTATCGTGTCTTGTATGTAGGAGGCAGCTAAGTGAATGTGATATGACCCTGTGAGTGTTTTCAAATATT